GGGATAAAGGTTTCTTCAGGGTCAGCAAAGCGCGCGTAATGCCCCTGGTATGGTGCAGGTGTTCATATAGAACAGTAACCAAATACCGTCAGGTAGACCGTATGCTTGTTTGCCACCTCAGTGGTATAAAACAAAGGTTGAATGCGACATCTAACTCAAGAATATGGCAATGAGCCGTAGAAATGAAACATAGTGGAGTTTTATTTTATTAACAATTCCATAGTAGACACCGACTCTCTTGAAATAACCGATCTTTTTGAAAAAAATTTGTGTCAAAAAAGCTTTAATTGAGGCAATACAATATCGATGTAAAATTGATGGGAGTATTTCACTTTCATTGATGGGTTTATATTTTTCCTCCTTTAATAACTTTAGCCATTCAATTGAGCACAGTTCTTTGGGTCGTACAATCCTTTCAAATCTTCATGGAGGTGCGACTGTGAGTCACAGATAGCCTTCAGTGGAGCTCGGGGAAAGTATTACAGGATTTATTGTGAAATGATGTTTTGAAATTGGGGGGCTCCTCTTTTGAACTTAAACGTAAATAAAAAAATAAAATACATACATACATGTCTGTCACGCTTGTCTCCCATTACGGTAGGCAGAAACAATGGAACGCCAAATGCTTCGATTCAAACAAACCTCTTTCGCTTCTTTCACATTCATCAATCTTTTCATACACGCTCGTCGGTTACGGGTACTTTTAATTTGGCCCTTCTTCAGCACGTTGCCTCTTTGGTCAACATACGTCCGTCTAGGGCGGCCCCTATCGATATCTCCATTCATTCTTGCTCGATAAATCTCTTTCGTAATTCTTCTTTCATCCATCCTCTCCAAAATAAAATGAATATGCTAATGATGGTAATCCCTGATGAGGTGCTTAGTGGCAATTTTTTTTAATGAATGTAAATGGAATGTTGCATCTGTTTATGCTAATGGTATACAATGACAGAGTACTAGTTTTATTTTTTTAATGGACGATAATGGTATGGTAACCTCGTTCGTGCCAACGGTATATGCTGGCAGGGCATCAGTGAGGGATGATAGGTGAGAATGAAAAGGCAGGTCAGTAAGCTCATCGTGGTGAATACACCTGAAATTCAGCAAGATGGTTTCCAGGGACGACCACGTGGAGGTCGACCTGACAGGGTATATTCAGATTTTTTTAAAAGTTGCTTAATAAAATATATACACCAAATTTTCATGAATGGTTAAAATTATTAATGTAGTAGTAAAATTACAGGATACAGATTCATATCACCTGAATCCTCAGAAATGGCAACGCATAAGCGGTATCATGGGTGACACAGTATACTCTGTTATGTCTATGATAATGTTCATATCTATAGGTGACAGTTACCACTTTCCAACAAGTGGGCCTCAATTTGTTTGCCATTCTAAGTTGCTTGAAAAAAATTAGAAAATCAACACTAGATAGGTATGGCACTTGACATAAAATCTGCATAAACTTTTAGTTTGATGTTTATGACAAAGATAAAGTGGTTATCTGTGCATTTGAAATGTTTTACGAGAAGATTCGCCTTTTATTATCAGCCATAACTTTATTCTAACGCAGTTTTTATGAATAATGGTGGTTGTGTGTTTTTAAGTGCATTTTTATGTTAATATTTTGCATCTAAGTCTCTGGCAACAGTTTCTGTTGACACCTTCATGGTTAATATGCATAAAACTGTATGCGTTTTATTTGTATTTTTTTTTTTACAATACAGGAGGTAAACGATGCAGCTCACATGATGGTAAGTAATTACCGCCGCCCATGATCACCCACAACACCAACGGCATTGCAAATATATATATATATATATATTGAATGCGGAAACAAATGTCAAACCCAGACGTGCGGTTTCAATCATCAATCGATATTTTAATGAGCGGACCGAACGTAAAATTCGATTCAACCCAGTTTCATCCCCAGGGGGTTGACGTTTCAACGAGTACTTAGAAGAGCATTACAATGTAATGTCACCTCATTAGGATGGTAGGGGACGAAAATTATTTGTTTCGCTCCCGAATGAAACGGCGCAAAGAACCGTTCAAGCATTGACCTCAATTTGACCGACTTTCAATGCAATATTATTGTCAAAAATCATATCACGTCATCGTAGCTTGTAGGGTATAATATTGTGTCGTTTTATGGTAGAGAGACTTGGTGATACTCGTTAATTTGAAATTGCGATTTATTTTTTATTTTTAAATAGTTATATATATTTGATTATTTTTCAGGTCCGACAATCGATGGGGAAGAAAGGTTCTTGAGTGGCAACCGCGTACGGGTAAACGCAATGTAGATGGAGTGACGACCTGAAATGCATTGCAGAGAGTCAGTGGATGCAGATGGCTCAGGGCCGTTCTTTATGGCAGTCTATGGGGGAGGTTTATGTCCAGCAGTGGACGGATAATGGCTGAAATGATGATAATGATTTTAGTTTGAATGTTAACATCTTAGCATATAGCAGTAAAATTAAAAGGTATGGAATTATAACAATTAGTCCTCAATCTTATAAATTATAATAAAACATAGAATACCTTGTAATGTATTCTATATACTAGCAGTATTCCGCGACTTCACTCGCGTGATTTAGTATATAAAATATCCTATATGCTTTTTATAGAATTTTATATGTGATTCTTTAAACTGATATAACTTTTTTATTTATGAACCGATTGAAATAAAATAAGTATTAAGTGAGGTAAACTGCAAGGCAATAGTGAAAACCGCATTCAAATCGGTTAAGCCGTTTCTGAGATTAGCGTGCACAAACGTACAGACAAACAGACAAAAGTTCTAAAAAATCATTGTTTTGAGTTTTATTGGGTTCATAAAGCATAATAGTTTTTGTTATATATCTTTCATGTACAGACTGCTACCAGTTACGATTTTATTATATTTATATGATAAATTGAGTAGAAATTATTAAGAAATATATTTAAAACAAAGATTTTAAACCAAATGAAAATTTATAATTGAAATTAGTACAAGAGATAGCTGAATTACTCAATCAATTTTAAGCCTAGCTCGAATTGCTTTAGCAATTTAATTACGCGGCAAGTAATTTAGCATCTGAATATATCTAAACACTGAAAATATAATCAGATATAGTACTTTATTAATATATGACTTGACAATTAATTAAAATACTAAGGCAGCCAAAATTGGGTATTACATTACCGAAAACCGGTCAAATAAATATGTCGGGGGAAAGGGATTGTTAGTAGTGGTGACTAAAAATCCCATTGCTAGCAATATACTTAACCAGGTCGAACTCTTCGTCATTCCCCCTGGAAACTATCATGGTTGATTCCTGATGAATTCATCATGATGGGCTAACTGGCCTGTTTTCATTCTCATCGATCACCTTTCACTGGTGCTCCGCTAGCGTATCCCGTTAGCGCAGGCCTGGGTACCATATCATTAACATTCATTAAAAAAACATCGTCCATAGACAAGAATAGTATTATTTTCGCCTGAGGACGCCTGATATCACAATGTCGCCCTCAGGTATTCCCATTTCATTAAGGCGTTATGCTTCTATATTACTACTCCATTTACACCCATTAAAAAAAAAAAGTATGTCATAGAATGATACAGTTAACGTAGATTTGTCTCTCTTGAAATTCCTTGACTTCATTCGTTATCTTTTTCTCATAAGAATTCCCAAAAACCCTTATTAATAAATATGCCAAAAAAGAAAATACTACCTAAGTGTCTCGTTTTGATACGACTGTTGGAATTATACGAGTCGGTTATTCAGTGTGTTTTGATATATCCTTTATTTTTTCTATTTATACCTGCAACTATATTCAAGAGAGTATTGCTATTTAAAAGGCTAGCAAAACACCTGAAAATCACTTACCATTATATAGATCTTTTTTATTTATTATCACAGAAAAAAAAACAGAGTTACAGAAATTATGATACATGTAGGTTTATATTAATACCAAATACATTAAAACAATATGAGCAGCATTCTTGTTTGTGTCCCTGTGTTATAAATAAAAGTGATCGAAAGAAATATGCCTATATCATTCTCCGTTTCAAATACTAAATTGTATGCCAATTTTCATGACGAATCGTTAAGCCATCAGGGCGTTTATTCTTCCTTTTTTATTTCAGTCACTAATTATCTACTGCTTATCATAAGCCTTCCTCATAAGGAGAGTTTTGCCAATAGTTTCCAAGCTTGGCAGGCGGGTTGGTAACCGCAGTTAGGTTTTTAGAGAAGTTTTAAGAGGAACGTTGCTGCTTACCATAATTACCTTATTTTTTATATATATTATGTTTTTGCACTTATAAATTACATAAATTTTATTATAAATATTGTAAGCATGGATGAATTATCTCTGAAAGAGATCTGTTCCAGTCGACCTAATACAGTGCGAAAGCATATTATACCTATGTATAAACTTTCATATTTATAATAGTAGTGAGGATAATAAATGTACATACAAGTGATACACATACAAACAAAACTTTACAGTGTGCAAAAAATTTATTTATTTATTTATACTTTTACACACATTGAAAAATGTCTACAGGGCGGATTTAATACCTGCTGGCATTCTCTACTAGTCAACCGCCACGCCAAACATAGAGAGCAAATGGCGGTGCACAGATTTAAAAAAAATATTAATTAAATAAATTCTAGGTAAATTATAAAATTGAACATAATCAATCAAACTTCAGGCTATTTCTCTATTTGAGATCAGGTCTCTTGATACTTTTAATCAATTCAATGTCAATTCTTGGCAGTATATTGAATTATTTATTCTAGAAGCTTAAAATATATATATTTTTTGTTATACTTGATGCTTTAATAACTCGACCAATCGTCACCAAATTTAGTATTAAAAAGATTTAATTCGAATTATGAATATCGATAAACATTTCGAGAAATGTTCACAGTGTAATAACGACTTTACTCAATTCTCCGAACAAACAAACACAATACTCGACTTCCATTCAATTACCTACATCCGCAATGATACGACAAGCATTTTTCGTTGTAACAATCTCTTTAATATTTCTAGAAATTCACAGAACAAACTCGTATAAAACGTTAAAGGATTTGAAGGAGCAATATAAGAAAATTGAGAATGACGATTTCACTACGTCGGACGTTCTTGTTGGCAAAGCGATGGATTTTATTTACTCAAACAAAACTATAATGAGTCTAATAGCCAGAGAATTGTGGAACGTCGGCTCGAAGGCTATTGACAGAATTGTCGATATGAAAGGTGAGTTATAAAAATTGTGTGGGCAATTAAGTCATTGTGGAACTTCTACAAGTACTTTTGCTATCAATTGGAATATAATTCGTTATATTTACATAAATTTGGTCGATTTATTTTTGATGAGACTTGTGGAATTTTAAATTAAATAAAAAAAATCGTAAATATTATTTGTGAATGTAAATCTGTTTTACATCCATTAAGTACATTTAGGACATCTCTTTTATGAATATAATATTAAAAAGATATAGCTATTGATGTTATATTACATATTTTTTCTATTAATAAATATAATAAGTACTAATGTCATAAATGTCAATAAAGTGTGTAAAGATTTTTGGATGTCGTACGTGTTACTCGATCACATTGTAATGGCTGAACGCATTTGAATGAAATTTGGTGCACGAGTAGGTTATATGCTAACATATATAGGATACTTTATATATTAATTCTCTCTAAATTTTTTTTTTTAAGTAAATAGTTTCGTTAATTTCGTGAACTAGTCTTCACCCCTAACTTCGTCCACTTTAATTTTAATTGACACGAATAAAAGTGGCCTATGTTCTCCCTCATTCTAAATACCGTCCGTTTAAAACACCAAGAAAATAAAAACAAACAAACGTACTTTCTCATTTATAATATTAGTTAAGATTAATTTAATACATTTATATGTATTTTATTATATATTATAGTAGAATATATTAGCTTTTAACCGCGACTTCATTCGGGCATGCATCCTACCTCCTTCTCTATCCTATATAGTACGTATGCCTTTATCTAATTCCATAATGATTGGTTACACTTGTAAGGCGCTATAATGTAACAAACACACTTTCATGTTTTTAATATTTGTTTTGTTTTTAGGTCCAGGTCACAAGAGATAAAAAGAAGATATATGCAGCTACGCACCTGAAACCATAAAATAATAAATATATTTTATTGCATGTAAATACATTTAACAAAAACATTGTGTTTATTTACTACTAGTGATCCGCCCCAGCTACGCACGGATGGAAAGATAAAAAGTTAAATTAGTATATATATATATATATATATATATATATATATATATATATATATATATATATATAATGCCAGATAGAAAAACAACATAGTAGTAATGATTTTTAATACTTATTACCTATAATTATTTTTATATATTACTTAAAATTATTCTGACATTTCCCTATGGTTGACTAGGAGAGAATGCTTTTAGCATTAAGTCCGCCATGTACACATATTTGTACTAATGAATAAATAAAATCAATAAATAAAATAAAAAAGGGCTTTATAAATAAAATAATTTAGACATTTTTTTTTTATTTTTTTCCTCTATACATTTTCATGGATATACAAACCCTCGCTTTATAAGATTTTTATCCAATAAAAGCAACTCAGTAACTTGTAAACAAAAATTTTAAAATACAAACGGACATTAATTTGTACCTTGTAACTTTTTCTCTGATCTAATTACAATTTAATCTTACTTATTGCACATAAAAGTTTACGGTTCCGCGTGCAATACGTAATGTTTGCAACACAAACTTGTATAAATCCAAATTTATTATACTCCACGTCCGAAACACATTTGGAATCCGGGAAGCGGAGATAAAAACTCGTTGCAGGGATAATTTCCATGATTTTCACCATAAATATGGTTTGCCAAGTAAATATATTAACCAGCATTCATTTAATAATTTGCCGTTTGGTACCGGCACGAAATAGGCCATCCCTCCCATTCCCTTGTATGTCTGAAACGGCAACTAAAAGAACATAATGAGCGAGGGATGGGCAGCAGCCTCCCTCATAAAATATCATCAAATCCTAAGTGCAGTTGCTATTCCGTCAACCAAATGTGGTAATTACTGGCAACCCCTCGCCCTCTACCTTATAGGAGAGCAGTGGAATATTAACAGCTGAAACCTGATACCAACTGATGAAATGAACCAATGGAAAACGAGATATTTTGTAGGTACTTTAGATTTAAAATATTTTAATTTAATACCTGGAAGCATGTGTCTGTATGTAAATTTTGATGTAGAACAAGAAATCTTGATGAAGAAATGATGATGGTGATATCAGCCGTTAAATATCCATTGCTGAATGCTCCCCCATAACGGAGGTTTTGCCAGTAGTTGCCATGCTTAGCAAGAGGGTTGGCAACTGCAGTTAGGCTTTGGTGATACTTTAAAAGGAACAGATTAGATAAAAAGTAGAGAAATTAAAAACAAATTGAAACAGTTATAATCC